GTAGCCCCATCATAGAAGGCCACCAACTTGGTCAGGCAGGTTTTCCTCTTAGTGAAACCATGTTGGCTGTCAGCTATCGCCTCATTGATTTTCATGTGCCTTAACATGCCTTCCAGGAGAATCTTCTCCAAATTTTGCCAGGCACAGAGGTGAGACTGACTGGTCTGTGGTTCCCTGGCTCATCCATTTTCCTCTTCTTGAAAACGGGGGTTATATTTCCCTTTATCCAGTCGTTGAAAACTTCACCCGACCGCCATGGTTTTTCAAATGTCATGAACAGTGTCTTAGGAACTTCATTTGCCAGCTCCTTCAGCACTCACGGATGGATTTCATCAGGTCCCATGGATTTGTGCGCTTTCAGGTTCTTAAGATGGTCTCAGACCAGATCCTCTCCTACAGTGGGCCTAATGTCTTCATTCGCACAGTGACTGCATCTGCCTTCCAAGACTTGGGTGGTGTGGTCAGAGCTTTTGCCAATGAAGACTGAAGCAAAGTCATTCAGAACCTCAGTCTTCTCCAAATCCAGGGTAGCCAGTTCTCCCAATAGCTTCCAGAAAGGGCCCACATTGTCCACATTCTATCTTTTATTTGCAATGTACCTATAGAATCCCTTCCTGTTATCTTTAACATCCCTAGCCAAGTTTAATTCTAAGTTATATTGCTATAATTTCTTCAGGGATGTTATATACCTTTCTATGTGAGACAACAATTGTAATGACTGCATTGAGATATAAAAGCAATATTGAAGCCACCCCCAAACAAACAAAATTTTTAATTTCACCTGAAAAAAAATACTGCAGAAACCCTATATATTTATTGGCAAGAAGAAGAGCCCAACCCTGGATGTTTCAGAATAACTTCCACCCTCAGCAGCATAAAAAATAAAGTATAAGAAAAGATTAAGGGTATAACATTTTTTACTTTTTGAGAGTTATTTACTTTCTCCGGCATAGACAGGAAGACTAAAATCTACAAACAAACAAAAAAAAAAAAGGTAAAATAATCCTTGAATCATATGCTTAAAAGTCTTCATGTTTCTTTACCTTAAAACTAGGTTGCTCCAGAAAGTTAATAGTGGTAGCTGTTAGAGCTTTTTGAATGGGCTTTCATATCATTTGGGGAATGAGGAGTGGGATGGGGACACCAACAAAGAACCCCCTACGAATCTTTGGAAGCTTTTCAAACAAAATGGTTTCCTTAAAACATATCAAACCAAGGTCAGTCTTAGAACAAAAGAATTCAGATCTACTTTTAGGAAAACATATTAAAAATATATATAATCTGAAAAACATTAGCTTGAAGCCAATATTAATTCATTTAACTGTGTACTTGCTGATATTTCTGTGAGGTTTGTACCTTTTAACAGGGACAGCAGGTACTTTGCAAACTTTATCAATTAAGAGGATATAAGTAACCAGAATTTTGTTACTACTTGATCTGAAATCTCTTAAGAGATGGGGACAGAGAAAGGCAGGAGAAGTAAATTCTGTTACTTATTTATCTTTTTTTCCATGAAAAAATCAACAAATATCTACTCAGTTGCTTAAATACCAGTGTCTATTAAAATTTCTGATATTTTACTGAACTGAAATAAGGGGCTGAAAGATATAACACAAAATTATGTGAGGCCTTAAACTTTTACCTGTAGCTATTCAGGGCATCTCATTGTTTAAGAAGATGAATTACAGTTTGACAACATGCTGATGAATTTCAACCAAAATAAGACTGCTTTGCAAACGTGAACTAACTTTGCATGTTCTTTCCACTTTTGTTTCTCGATGTGTTTTACAACAATCAGATATGATTCTCAGGATAAACCATCTTTTCACTCTGGCTCACTCAAAATTGTGAAATTATGTGTATGAAAATGCAGATTTGCTGTATTTCATTAGACTTACTTAGGTCTTAACAGAATTACCAGATAATTGAATGTGTTGTCTTGCTAATGGTCTGTGCAAAAGACAAATACACTTGAAACCAGAGAATACACTTCAGAAATAGTAATAGTGATTGAAAATAGTGACAAATCAGTCCTGAAACCTAGGAAGATGTATAAAGGGAAGAAACAAATAATGCCATAGCACATCCTCATGCTAGAGATACCCAGGTTTTGTCTGAAAGTATTCATTGCTGTTTTGCAAAACCTGTTGTTATCCAGGCCCCTAGGCCCTCCTTTTTCTAAGCACATTTTTTCCAGTAGTTACCTGTTAGAGTTCAAAGAACAGATAACGTCAAACAGTTGTGAATTACTTTTTTCCAAAAAGTCCCCAAAAGACGTTATTTATGTCCACTGTCTAGAAATAAGATACTTACACATATTCCCCAATATAAAACAAGTAAGAAGGAAGAAAAATATAACACAAGCAAAAAGGTGCCTTTTTTACACCATGTTCTTTGTAATATCTGTACCTTCTAGAGGCTCACCCTGGGAGAAGAATAAGCTACAACCTCAAACAGTTGTTAAATAGTCACAAGGGAAAACTAAGAGCACTGCAGAAGGTCAAAACTCATCTTTTGATTTTATGATTTGTCTATCATAAAGCAGAATGGAGAAGAACAGAACCTAAGAAGATATCAAGGAAGGAGTATATATATATCAAAAATATATATGTCGATGCTTAAGGTTTTTTGGTTTTTTTTAGAAGACTGTTAACATAAGAAAGAGAACAGCAAACTAAAAGTGGAACAGGAATGCCAGTGGAACCAGGAAAGGCAGAAGACTACACTTTAAAGATCATGGATTAAGCACCATTTAATAAACAATCTTTGTTTGAGTTTTCTTCATTTACAGAATAGTTTAATCTGTTTATGCTATACCAAATTTTGTAATACAGTTATTTACACAAATGCCCAAAAAAGATTTCAGAAGGCAGCAGAAAGTTCCAGATGAAAATGTCCTAATATGTAATGCACACACTCTATCAAAGGAAGCGGGCACAGCTATCACTGCACAGCATGGTAGATTAAAAAGAAAAATAAAAAGGTGAAGATAGAACATAAAGTTATTAATCTTAATTTATTTACTATTATTTAATATTACCTCCCCATTTAAATCTTTTTTTTTTTAATGTGTTTTGTTTGGTTGGGTTATTTTATCTTACTTTGTAGAAAGGATAATCAAAGATATTTTTATGTTACTATTGGTTACTCCCCAATGCCAAATATCATAAACAATTACACTTAATTAGCTAGTGTTTTTTAAGCAACCCAACATTTTAAAGCAAACATATAATTGGACCCAAAGAAGGAAAGATGGAATCTGGTCTAGAAAAGTTAGGTTTTCATACAAGCAACCTATAACAGGAAATGCCCATATTACCATCTCAGGCTGTTACACACTTAAGTGATTGCACAAAATGCTGAAATATCCATGGGTGTCCAGGAAGATTATAAGAGGGCTCTATATATTTAAACAAGAAGCTTGGTAGATTGGGAAAAACGCAGTTTGCATGCATACTTGCTTTAAAACCTAGCTTTCTGATGTTAGTAGCCTCTAGGGAGAGTTTAATGAAAGCCTCTTTGCCTCAGTCCTGCTAAGGTCCATAGGAAACGAAGTACTTTAACAGAGTTCATTGGAAATGGGACAGAATCAATCTCTCTTCTTTTTCCTTCAGCCTTTCTAAGGCTCTAGAGGAAAGGAACTTTCAGGTGTTGCATACAGGAGCAACTATACTGCTGCAATTTATTATTAATGCCTTGAAAATATTATATTCCATACGTAGAGGAAGTTAAACACTAGACAATGCTCTTATCTCAGACTTACTGATTTTATCCCTTATGGGATACCAAAACCTTCTGCCCCCATCTTTATTACTTACTATTATCTTGCTGCTTTTATTCAGCATTACATTAAAAATATGATAAGTGTCTATCACTTGGGACTAAATATACAGTTCAGCATATCCACTGCACTTTCAAGTACACCATACACAGGCTCATGTATCACTGTTCTTGGTAACATGACAGCATGATAGCAGCCCAGCAAGTGCACTGGACAAGAAGCTACAGGCAAGATTTTTTCTATTTATTTTCTCTATAGGGCTCAACCCTTGCACAGCCCCATGTCTGTCTTTGGGGTTCATGTCTCAGAGCTTGTAATCAGGTAGGGTGTCAACTCAGGAATGAAGCAAGGCCAGGATGTCAGCTTAAATCTGTTAGTGCTTTTCCCACATCTGCAGCAACTCCCGCGCTTGGAATAGTTCAAAAATGTCTGGCTGCTTCTGCAATTTAGAGATCTTTCATTTTTAGGTCAGTCTGCCTCACAAGCTCCAGGCATGCAGCAAGCATTTCAGATTAGGAGCCAGATGCTGTAACTCCTATTTAAATACAAAAGTTTAAAAGGCAAGAAATTCTTCTTTACAGATTTTTTTTTATCCCCCTATTGTGGTATATGATCTTTATGCTTTAATAAGAAGCTCCTGGAGTTTGGCATTACAGATGCAACAACAGGCTTCTGTTATATATCCAACATCAGAGGTTTTCTGAATTAAATATCCTGGTTCCCCATGCAAAAGGGTGGAACATCATAGCAAACAAGAAAATATCTAACTCCACAATTAATTTGTAGTATTTTAATGGGAGTTCTGCCTATACCCAGGTTTGAAATATATGTGGAAAATAAATACTCACTTCAACAAATTTAAAATCAGAAGTATGATTTTGCATTATTCACTGTTTCAGAAAAACAACATTCTCTGGACAGTCAGCATCAACTTGTGGCAATGTTACATGAAGCACAATGGATTTTTGCTTTTTTTTTTTAAAGGTTGGGGTTTGTTTTTTTGCTTGGGGGGGGTGCTGACAAAGCACTAGGCAGTAGGTACAATATATCTACAGTAAGTAGATCAGACTATTTTACGTGCAAACATGCTGCAATAAAGTGCCATCATTCAATCAATATAGATTAGTTAACATTTTTCTTAATGTATCTGTATTACTAGTTCATTAGATCATTAGCTGATAAATAGTGTGGGTAATGGATTGAGAGAATAACTACATACCTTCAGGAAGAACCTGCCCGATAACAATAATCCATTAGAAAAACTGGCAGTATCCTCTGATCTATTGCCCGCACAGCTATGACTTGATGGAGAGTTTCATTCCCTCTGCTCAGCACACCAGAAGAAAATCAGCACAATTTAAATATTTCTCAGGAGGTGACAGCTCTCTAGATCCCTGGTTGCATTCTGTTCCCAGGGGTTGACAATCTGGTGTTCCAGTGTGCATAGAGCAGTGAAGATGAATTGAAAAAGCTTGAGATAAATTAGGGATGGCTAAGTTAAAATTGTCTCTGCTCCCGAGCCTCTCATCTGCAGTCTGCAAGCCTATTTTGCTGTGAAAAAGCTAGATGGCAGGCTGCCTCAGTGAGTTCTTCTTAAGCGACAGGGAGCATTTTCAATGAAGAAAAATTCTCCCATTATCTAAGCTAATGTGACTGCAGCTAAATCTAGTCTTAAAAGTGCCTACTAGAATGAAATTAATTCCCATTGTTGCTTTTTTTAAGCCATGTTAAAAAAGAAAAAAAGAAAAGAAAAGAGAAAACATATAGCACTGCCCTAGATTTTTCTATCTGAAAGAAATACTCAAACTTTTAAAGCTGATATATGGCAGCACATTTCATGAAATAGCTGTGCCCCACAATCTAAACAGGGGAAATTTTAACTGCTTTCTGAACTTTATCTGCTCATACTCGTATTATTCTTCCAGTATCTGCTCTTTCTTTTTTCATGTAACGGTTATTGTTGGCAATTATCTTCATTTTGAATGTTCCAGGAGAGAAAGTGGCAGTATTTTCCACTTCTTTACAAAAAGAAAGACTGACAGCTAAAACTCTGAATCAACATGTTAAATGTAATTGATGTTTTGAGATGACACTAAAAGGTTTCATTAAAAAAAATAAAATTCAACTTTGTAACATGTTGTTGATCTTTAATTATGAACCACATCTCTGACTGCACTAGTTTACAAAGAAGATGGAACTGAAGTTTTCTATATATCAGTTTAGTACAAAAGCTGTTTGACAAAGTCACTAAATTCAAGCTGTTATTTAAAAACTTGTTATTTAGATAGCTCAAGGTCAGGAGGTTATCATTACACATGGTAAATGAAAATTAATATTTTATTCTCTCAAACTTTGGATATAATTTTAGAAAAAGAAAAAATAGAAATAATTTGAAAAAGCCAGTGTCAGTCATGCTCCCTACTAAGGAGGCATTTTTGAAAATCTTTTCTTTAGTTTCAACTGATCTAGCTTTCTGAAATCCTTGGTATCTACCACCATGTCTTTTTCAAAATTGAATTCTCAGTATCACAGAAAATCAGGCCTCCATCCTAAACTGTGAACAAACAGAGATGCAGATGGATGCATGCCAATACAGTCCTAGTTCTAGAGCATTCTGAGAATGGTAATTATACCACCAAGAAATAGATGTACACCATGCTTCAATCAAACAGGCATGAAGAGTATCTGAAAATCTTTGGGACATGATTGCCGAGGTCTGTTTTGTTCCCCACCTCCCTGAGGTAAAAGATGCACACACATTAACAGAACTCTGATGAAGTGAAAAGGCGTGATCAACATTAACTGATTTCTTTGGGGGTTTTGTCAAGAAAGACATCAGCCCCACAGAGCCTTCGTGTTCCATGCTGACGGCATTACGTTCAGCCTAAATCTTTTAAACTGATGATCCTGCAGCCTCTGTCCTAGCAACATGCCTAGGATGAGGATGACTGAGCAACGTGCCCCTTGGAGCATATACAAACACTTGACAAGACCCAATTGTTCAGTAAATCCAATATGCATAAAGGTAGCTCAAAATAGCATGTAATTCTAGAGGGATTAAAAAGTTTCTTATGATGCCTTACTCTAGGATTATTTCTGGTGTTGTGACACTTACATTTCTTAATTCTAGATGTGACTGTATGTGCCCCAGTCATAGCCACTAAGATTTCAACATTTTCCATGTAAACAGATCATGGTATAACAATTAAAACCAAATAAACTAAACAATCAAAAAATTTCAACAAACTCTCAACTTGGAGAGAATTTTTGATGCAATTTTGCAAATCAGAGAGACAACATGGGTAAATTGATGTAGTTTAAGCTCAGCTAGTAACTCAGAACCATGCAGCCACTCACTCACTGCTTCCTTCCTCCTTCAGGATGGGGATGAGAATTGAAAGAATGTAAACCCCATAGCTCAGATCCCCCCTCCTCCACTTTCTCCCTTCCCTGGGTGGGAGTGGGGAGGAGAACCAAAAGAGTACAAACCCCATGGGTTGAGACAAGAACAGTTTAATAACTAAAATAAAGTAAAATAAAGTGAGCAGCTACTGCTTCATGTAATTATCAATGACAAGCCGCTGTTTTTCTTTGATCCTCAGTAACTTGTGTTAAATACCTACATCATTATACAAGTTTCTATTAATGAAAAATCTATCTCGAACAAATTTTAAAGTAAAAATAACTGTATTTATTTCTAGTGGTATCATTATTTTACAAGATCTGATTCATTCATGTTTAGTAACATTAACATGTCAATTTTTGGGAGGTTTCTTTTTGGATTCTGGATGTGACATGGAAGGAAACATAGAAGCTATTTAAACTACAAAATAAACCAAAATGTTTTAGTAAAATTCTCAGCTTTGACCACATAATCAACTCAGTGTTCTCTTCTTAAAGTAAAAAGCAAAGTAAGAAAGGTGAATTTCAGGACTCAAAATTTATTTTTTTTTTTCAGCGAAAGAGGTTTAATAATCCCTGAAGATTATTAGGGATTAGGCCCAAAACACCCAGGAAAGTGTAGTCACTTTTAGAACAAGACATAAATTCACAAGAATTTGTCAGACATTACCAGGAGAATAAAATGAATTGAGCCTTTTTTTAATTTTATTTTTAATTCTCCTTTCCTTTACCAGTTATCTACCAGTAGTAATATCTTTTTGTAATTAAATGAACAGTCCTAGATGTTCAAGTTGGAAACAGAGGTGATGCTGTTGGCATAATATGCTAGATATTTTTCGTGTGCTGTAATCCAGTTAGGAAAACATGTTTCAAAACATCAGAAGACAGCAGCAGTATTGCAGGCAGAGGCTGAAAAAGGTGGTCATGGAGTGGTGTATATTGTTAACTCTGTGAAGTGATACCTTCCTGGAGAACAGAAGTTGTAATAGGTTTAAGAATACTTTGACCTGGGTATACCTTAGAACTTTAGGGATGTTATTTCTAGAAGCCAAAGTTATTTAAGAGTAGTGTAATTTCAGAGCTACTAAATCATTAAATATATATATATATATCTCTACATAATAAGATACACTAAAAAAGTTGTATTTGGCAAAATCTTCACAACTACAACTCTGCTTCAATTGGTAATTTTCAATGAAGAAAAAACCTCCATTTAGATAGAGGTTTCTCTTTTCTATTTCCCCATAATTTTTCACTGGAGACAAAATAGTAGTTACTGAATCCAGAATATTTTCTCCACTGTTTACCCTGCCTTTCTTGCATTAGATTTTAGTAGCTGAGAAAAACTTCTAACAAGGAACCTCAGTGGGAGTGGAGATACTCAATGAAAAGTCAGAAAGAGAGATTTTTAGAATTATAGAATGGTTAGAGTTGGAAGGGGCCTTAAAGATTTTTGCTACTGTACATTATATTTTGTGTATATATCTATAATAACTTAATAAAAAAAAACACAGTGTGTGTACATATAAACATTTAGTAAACTTTTTAAAGTAGCTTTTCTGTTATTGTGGAATAAATTCTTGATTATTTTTTGCTGCTTAATATGTTTCTTCCCTGTTCACCCTTGAAATTTGTTTCACAGTTGTTAGTGCTTGCATGTTTTCTAGGCAATAGCTTCTTGCTAATTTTCGTTTCTTACATTCATATAGGATTAGGTCTGGATTAAAATAAAACATAAAAATCTTTAATAAAAATATTTTTTGCTAATCTTAAAATTTAATAGTTGAAAGTTTCAGCTTGGCTGGGAGTACACCTTAATTAAATGTATGGAGACTACATAGTCTGCTGTTCTGCCAGTGGTTTTTGCGCACTAACAACTGATATGTGGGAAACAACATCCAAGATAGATGTATATATAATTGAAGAGGAAATTTAGATATTACTGTGCTATTTGGGACTGACTAGAGAACTTCAGTAAGAGAATTTACTTAAGCTAGAAACCTGTCCCTAGGACAGGGATTTAGGGTAGTGTCATCTGAAAGGCTCTCTTCAAACGTCAGTCTGCCACTCTATATGGTTCCTGGAAGAAAGCAGTTGAGACAGTGCAGAGAAGGATGGCAATATATGCTCTGTTCATTCTCCTTTTTGATTATTGTTAAAATTCTTGATTTCAAGCCTTCTTTATTACGCCTTTTAGAAAAGTCTCTTTCTTTAGATAATTTCATTAAACCTGCAAACATAGCATATTTGGGAAAAAAAAAAAGAAAAAAAGAAATCAATAATACACTTTAGTGGTTGCTATTAAGAAACCAAAACCAATAACAACAAAAAAAAATAAATCCAAAACCAAACCTAAAAATACAACAATACTAAAACTCGATTTTGTCGAGAGCAATTAAAATAATTTAAACAATTAAAAACTATTATTACAAAATAAAAAAATTCATACTGATAAAGAGACCTTATTTCAATTTAATTATATTAATGTCTTACATTATTCAACAAGAAATCTCTTAACAATTTTTATGTGATACACAAAGCATTTTTTGTTCTGGCTTCCATTGTCCTCTCTACTGGCTAGACTGTAGGAAAGCACATGTACTCCTAACATTTCAACAATCAATGATAAAAGATCCTTTAAGTTTCCTGCTTTCAACCTTTCAGATACATATTTGTTTCCTTCAGCTTTCATTTGCATTATAGTGAATAGGGTCTCACTTTGAACTCATACATCACCTTTCATCTCAAAAGCTCAAGGCGAGTTTAATGTGTCTCTCTTGAAACCCATAAAACTTTCATTATGCAGCCTGAAGTCCCAGCAGCTGCATGTGATTTGAGAAGAACAGATTAAGATTCTAAAGAAAAAAAAAAGCAAAACAAAACCCCTGTTACAAAATTTCATCCAAGTGGAGCAGGACTTTTAGATACTACAAAACAAATAAATAGTTAAATAGAGAAATAATATGTCAAGAGATAAGGAAGAACAAACATAAATTATAAACAGCAGTCACCCTGTGGGAGTATGCTGCAGAATTCAGAGCACGTTCAAGCATGTCCAAACCTTTTAGTTTGTTCAGAAAGCTTGTGCTTAGCTCTGAGGTATCCTTGACTGGTTTTGCTGTGATAATACCTGATGAACCTGTCCTGGACATCCTGATTTTAAATATATAACTAACAATACTAATAAAAAAGGATCATCGGCTACTATTAGTTCTATTG